GGCCCGCACGGCACACGATGTGGTGGTGTGGTCAACACCCACGGCCGGCCGCCTTTGTCTCCTCAGTGCTGATGTTTAATGCACGTAGCACCAGGTACTCACAACGACCACAGCGGTGTGTTGATGGTGGGCACGCTGGTTTTGGAATACAGACGTCGCCGGTTACATTCTATCTCCGGGCGCCGCAGTTTCTTAACCCCCCCCGAATCCACCGCCTGCCCGCCTCTGTCCACCCAGCAGTATAATAGATGCTGCCACCACAGTCAATCGGGAGGTCTCGTGGTGGGTGGGATCAAGTGTGGGTACTCCCACATCTCCCAAGACGATTGGTCGACGTGAATGAGTCGACCCCAATACTCGGATAAAATTGGTGTTGATAAGTTAAAATAGATATTCTTGGTTCTTTCGGTAAAGTCACGTAGAAGGGAAACAATGAAGTAATAAAAAATATAAACAATACAATTCTCACGACGTTTCGACTGCAACACAAGCAGTCATCATCAGGTGTGAAAACCACAAATTTTCTTGCTGTGGTTTTCACACCTGATGATGATTGCTTGTGTTGGAGTCGAAACGTCGTGAGAATTTTATTGTTTTATATTTTTATTATTTTATTGTTTCCCTTCTACGTGACTTTACCGAAAGAACCAAGAATATGAATCCCTGCAGTCACGAAAGCTTTAAATCAAAATTTAAGTTCAAATAGCTTCCGGTGAATTAAGTTTAACAAACGAACTCGCCTGCGCGCACATACTTTAGATTCAGGGTTACTTACTGTATTCATATTTAATTGCATTTCTTAGTTCCAGAGTATCTCAAGGTCGGTTTTTTTTCCAACCATGTATTACACTTTATCCCAACATACCAAAATAGATATCACTTTTTATGGATGTGCTCCCATCCAGTCTCAACACTTGTGCTACATTCCTGACATGAACAAAGTAAACTGGTTACTCGGATTTTTCAATCCTCTTGTCACGGGATGTGCGTTACCATTGACATGCATTGAAGTATATTTTATTATGTTTAACATGTAGGCTTTCGCGACCAATATTATTCATAATAAAGGTTTTTTTTTGGGTTAGATCGCGTTTATTTATAAATGTGTCGTAACCCTCCACCACCTGACACGGCCAATCAGCAAAAAAAAGTGTCACGTTGATAAAAGACAAATAATTCACTACTTTAGCCCACCGGTGTGTTGAAGAGTGAATCCACATTTACATGGTGACCATTCTGGCGAATTGCCCGATGATGCTGGATGTATTTACCAGCGAAACGTCGTACTCAAACTGTAAATGTGGATTCACTCTTCAACACACCGGTGGGCTAAAGTAGTGAATTATTTGTCTTTTGTCAACGTGACACTTTTTTGCTGATTGGCCGTGTCGGGTGGTGGAGGGTTACGACACATTTATAAATAAACGCGATCTAACCCAAAAAAACCTTTATTATGAATATATTTTATTATGTTTTATTTTATTATTTTCCTTCTACGTGACTTTACCGAAAGAACCAAGAAGATGAATCCCTGCAGTCACGAAAGCTTTGAATCGAAATATATCTCACCTGGTTTAGCAAACTCAACTTGAACGGTAGTATTCATTTAGTTTGGGATACGGTTTAGTGAGTTGTACTTGTACAGCTCTTTGGGGCCTCACTGGGAGTGCCGTTACTCTCAAATATAATTTCCAGGTGTGACGGTAAACATACAAGAGCTGTAGTCCAGCGACTTGACAGTAAAATTGGTGGTTCAGAGATGGATCCACGTGTGTGCACCAGCCATGAGCAATCCACTGCTGGATGACAGCACTGGAGATACCCTACGTCCCCCACCGTCAACTCCTCCTCTCCACCCACCAACCCCCGTCCTCCCCTCCTCACTTCACCTTCATCCCCTCCACCTCACGACACCTCCCTCCTATCGCCCCCTCCCTCACCTTATAACCCCCACCACGCAGTGCGAGCCCCATCATCCCCCTCAACACCACTCCTCTAAACACTCCCCTGCCCACCTACCCTGAACCCCACTCCTCTAAGCACTCCCCTGCCCACCCACCCTCAACACCACTCCTCTAAGCACTCCCCTGCCCACCCACCCTCAACACCACTCCTCTAAACACTCCCCTGTCCACCCACCCTCAACACCACTCCTCTAAGCACTCCCCTGCCCACCCACCCTCAACACCACTCCTCTAAGCACTCCCCTGCCCACCCTCCCTCAACACCACTCCTCTAAGCACTCCCCTGCCCACCTACCCTCAACACCACTCCTCTAAACACTCCCCTTTCCACCCACCCTCAACACCACTCCTCTAAACACTCCCCTGCCCACCCACCCTCAACACCACTCCTCTAAACACTCCCCTGCCCACCTACCCTCAACACCACTCCTCTAAGCACTCCCCTGCCCACCTACCCTCAACACCACTCCTCTAAGCACTCCCCTGCCCACCCACCTTCAACACAACTCCTCTAAGCACTCCCCTGCCCACCCACCCTCAACACCACTCCTCTAAGCACTCCCCTGCCCACCTACCCTCAACACCACTCCTCTATTCTAGATTTGAAGCTTCCGTGACTGCAAGGATTCATACTCTTTGGTTTTTTCGGTAAAGTCACGTAGATAAAACAAAATCAAAATAAAAGAAAACAACTAAATCAAATCACGACGTTTCGGAGGCAACACAAGCTTCCGTCTTCAGGTGGAACAGTCACAGCAAGATAGCTGCATCAAGTGGTGAGCTCTGAGTGCCTCGAGCTTATATACAGGCCTTATATACAGGCCAAGCAGGGAACAACGACGGGGCTAAGTTAATCCGTCTTTTGTTATGTTGAGCGTTCAGGGGAAGCAGTGGTTCACTGCACGGGGGCAATGAAAAAATGGTTTAAAAAAAGGCTGTGCGCTTGTAAGATAGCTGAAGTTTTTACTTGGTTTATGACATCTTTCCAGTGGTTGCTTAATTTAAAACCATCCTCTCGGTTGAAGTTGTGTCTATGTTTGTATATCTGGATGGCTTCATGGACACTCCTCTAAGCACTCCCCTGCCCACCTACCCTCAACACCACTCCTCTAAGCACTCCCCTGCCCACCTACCCTCAACACCACTCCTCTAAGCACTCCCCTGCCCACCCACCCTCAACACCACTCCTCTAAGCACTCCCCTGCCCACCTACCCTCAACACCACTCCTCTAAACACTCCCCTGCCCACCCACCCTCAACACCACTCCTCTAAACACTCCCCTGCCCACCCACCCTCAACACCACTCCTCTAAACACTCCCCTGCCCACCTACCCTCAACACCACTCCTCTAAGCACTCCCCTGCCCACCTACCCTCAACACCACTCCTCTAAGCACTCCCCTGCCCACCCACCCTCAACACCACTCCTCTAAGCACTCCCCTGCCCACCCACCCTCAACACCACTCCTCTAAGCACTCCCCTGCCCACCTACCCTCAACACCACTCCTCTATTCTAGATTTGAAGCTTCCGTGACTGCAAGGATTCATACTCTTTGGTTTTTTCGGTAAAGTCACGTAGATAAAGCAAAATCAAAATAAAAGAAAACAACTAAATCAAATCACGACGTTTCGGAGGCAACACAAGCTTCCGTCTTCAGGTGGAACAGTCACAGCAAGATAGCTGCATCAAGTGGTGAGCTCTGAGTGCCTCGAGCTTATATACAGGCCTTATATACAGGCCTTATATACAGGCCAAGCAGGGAACAACGACGGGGCTAAGTTAATCCGTCTTTTGTTATGTTGAGCGTTCAGGGGAAGCAGTGGTTCACTGCACGGGGGCAATGAAAAAATGGTTTAAAAAAAGGCTGTGCGCTTGTAAGATAGCTGAAGTTTTTACTTGGTTTATGACATCTTTCCAGTGGTTGCTTAATTTAAAACCATCCTCTCGGTTGAAGTTGTGTCTATGTTTGTATATCTGGATGGCTTCATGGACACTCCTCTAAGCACTCCCCTGCCCACCTACCCTCAACACCACTCCTCTAAGCACTCCCCTGCCCACCTACCCTCAACACCACTCCTCTAAACACTCCCCTGCCCACCCACCCTCAACACCACTCCTCTAAGCACTCCCCTGCCCACCTACCTTCAACCCCACTCCTCTAAGCACTCCCCTGCCCACCTACCCTCAACCCCACTCCTCTAAGCACTCCCCTGCCCACCTACCCTCAACACCACTCCTCTAAACACTCCCCTGCCCACCTACCCTCAACACCACTCCTCTAAACACTCCCCTGCCCACCCACCCTCAACACCACTCCTCTAAGCACTCCCCTGCCCACCTACCCGTCCACAGTATCCCTCCCCCACTCGTCCGAGCGCCGTCTCACCCCCGAGGTCCCCCTCTCCCCCCTCCCCCTGTGTTCCCACACGTCACTCTCCCTCCCTCTCTCCCTCCCCTGCCAACTCCCCTTTCGTTCCCTCCCTCCTCCGCCTCCTCCCCTCCCCTGCCCGGCCCCTCCTCTCCCTTGGCTCCTCCCAAGTCCCACTCCCTCTACCCTGTCCCGTCCCCTTACCCTCCCCCGCTCCTTCCATCCATCCCCTTCCCAACGCTCTGTCATCCCCCCCCATCCCCGTATCTCCCTGGCTCCTCCCATCCACGCCCTTCCCCGCACCCCCAGGCTCCTCCCCTCCCCTTAGCCCCACCCACTTATTGCTCTGCGTTGTCCGACGACTCCCACTCCCACCCCCGATAGCCGGTCCCCTTTCCCCCCCTCCCCACCTTCTGGAGCCCTTCCCCCCGCCCCCGTGTCCCTCCCCTCTCCCCTCACCCCTCCCTAAACCTTCCCTTTGCCCCCCCCCGTCCTTTGCCCCCACCTCCCTGGGCCTCTCAGGCCCCTCCGCCCCTCCCCCTACGGGCCTCTCCCACTCTTCACCCCTCCCCCTCGCCCCTCCTCCTCCAAGGACCCCCCCCACCCCGCGCCCCTCCCCCACCCCTCTTTCCCCCGTCGCCCCGCCCCTCCCCCGCGCCCCTCCGCCACCGCCCCCCCCCTCCCCCTCGTGCCGCTGTTGTTTTTTTTCCTTGGTCGCCACCCGCGCGCGTCTCACACGCGAAAAAAAACCAAGCATAGCCTCCCTTCTGATGTATTAAACAAAACACAGCACAACACCGAGGCACAGCAGCCCCGGCGGCGGCGGCGGTGGCACAACAACCACAACAACATCATCGCCACCACAGCGAGGAGGAGGAGGAGGAAGAGAAGGAGGAAGAATTAGGATTCATTTTAAAAGGGAACGCGCGGAAAAAAAAAACTCCACTCAGCAGAAGGAAGCTACCGCCTAGGGTGAGCCCGTGTCCAGGCCTGACCCTGGCTCTCTCCCTTCTCTCTCTCTCGCGCGCGCGCCTCAAAATCTCCGTCTCTTAACTTAACATCATCTGTCGCCGATACACTTCGTTAAGAATCTTATTTAAAGCGCGTTCGTGTGCGCCGGCGTTTTGACGAAGGCAAGAGTGGAAGGCGGGCTTGTGTGTGTGTGTGTCTCTGAAGCTTTGGTTTTGAGGCCCGGTGCGTAGGCCCGCGTTTGCGTCCGAATCGTAACGCGCAGGGCGCGATCCGCCGCTCTCTGTCGCGTTCTTAAATACAACCCCACGGCGTTTGACGAACAATGGTGCTTTTATTTGTTGTTTTTTTTGTTGTTGCTGCGACTTGGTGCCTCCTCTCCCCTCTTCTCGTTCGTCTTCATCGACGAGCAAACGGCAAAGGCCACAGCAGCAGCAGCTACGTCTCGCTTTTAAGCGTCGCGGTCACCCGCCACTTTAATTACGGAGGCCGGCGCCCTCCGAAGACAGACCCGGCGGTCGGTAACATCGAATGTCATCAACCTTTGTTTTAATTATCGCGCATCCTATCCCTTTAACTGGTATACCTGCTTAAAAGTACACACTTGGGTGAGTGTTTTATTACTTAATTGTGAAGCCTCTATCTCGGTTCCACATGCCTTGAGGCCTGGCTTCTAAACGGATCCATTGATAGGCTTGCATAAAGCCCTTACGTTTTCCGTTCAAATCACTGTAAAGCAGTGGAAAGCGTTTCCTTCAGGGTGTTTATTCAACTGGACGCAACGGGAGACGAGAAGGACCAATCCCACAGAGTCTGAGGAATCATAAGGGGCAGATATCAGACGATTATCGCGTCTGAAGGGCCCAAGTAGACTCAAAAGGAACCCCGAGTGTTGGATCTGGTATGTTTTAGGGGCTTAGAGGCTACATAATAAATCTAGAGTTCACTGGTGACGCAAAGGTCACTGTTGTCAACCTGTAACTTTCCGCTGCTGGCCAAAGGCCTCCCCCATTTTCTGACATTCCTTCCTTTTATTTAGTCTCAGCATCTCTTCCACGGTCTATCCTTCTCTCGGTATCCACTCTGCAGTTATTGTCCATATTCTTGGGTCTTTCGGTAAAGTAACGTGACTACCGAAAGACCCAAGAATATGCATTCCTGCAGTCACGAAAGCTTTAAGTCAAAATGTTGTCCATCTCACGTCATTTCTGCTTTTGACGCGGCCTGGCCATTTCCAATTCATTTATTTTGATTGACTTAGGCTTCAAGGCCCTGAAGATTCATACCGACGGAATTAAAAAATGGGGACTCGGAGGAGCTTAGGCCCAGAGCTTTAGGGGAAAGGAGGCAATGGTACTTGTGAGCACGCACACTCAAAATCTACGATTAATGTTGTGTTCGACTAAAGCCTGAAAACTCGCAGGGACCAGTTGAGCACAATGATTATATAGAAACCAGCCTCCGAGACCTGGGGATGAAGGCTTAAATAAACCAGTACTTGGTGGCCTTATGAACCCACAGGATGCAAGCCCAAGGGCCAAGTTATTTAGCACAGAACTCCAGAGTTGGCTGCCTGGGGAATCCAGACAATAGCTCGACACTCTTAATTCGAAGTGGATTAAATTTGTGCTGGGGCTGAGATGTACTGCAACTTGACTGGCCTTTGTTTTCATTATCTATGCCACATCCTTTCTGTGCACGCTACCATTAATTTTGTCTACCCAGTGTGGCCTATTTGTCGTTCCAGAAATAATGCAATGTCACTAAGCTTGGTGGATTGTGGGTAGATGGTGGTCAAGCAGCATTAAGGCATAAACGACCTTTGATAACAATTCGAACACAAAACAGAAATGCGAGGGTGGTATTTGCTGATTCAGTTTCACAGAGCTTTATATATTGATATACTTGATCCCCATGTTTAGAAAACATAACGTTCAGCGATTGAGTAGAATTTGTGGTCGCATTAGGACTGCACCCCATCGACTTGTGATGTCACGATTGGTGTCAGCCCTGGTGGATTGTGGGTAGATGGTGGTCAAGCAGCATTAAGGCATAAACGACCTTTGATAACAATTCGAACACAAAACAGAAATGCAAGGGTGGTATTTGCTGATTCAGTTTCACAGAGCTTTATATATTGATATACTTGGTCCCCATGTTTAGAAAAAATAACGTTCAGCGATTGAGTAGAATTTGTGGTTGCATTAGGACTGCACCCCATCGACTTGTGATGTCACGATTGGTGTCAGCCCTGGTACCAAGACTTTGGCTCTGTCTTAAAAAAGAGCTTGAGATAGCTCGTGGCTATCTCCGTTTTAATAGAACCAGTCACATCGTATAAATGAGAATGTCGGACTTGGTATTGGTTGTGGAGATGAACCAGATGGATCGAGGCTGAGAGACTCTGATAAGTGTCAAATAAAGCCAAGGCCTCTGTCTGTTGATTACTTCTCCATTCAGTCATTTATTTGACAGGTGAGAGCCCCTGAAGACTATAAATACGAGACAATATAACAATACCAGCTTACGAGCGTGTTTGCCTGTCCTAGGACGGAAGCTGTAATATTTACAAAAACATTGAGCAGAGTATAATTGTATCTTGTGTAAATTTAATGGCAGTGAATCTTGCACAAAAGTATGTCATCAAACATTTCACTGTAGCACTGTATTAGTGGCAGTGAATCTGGCACAAAACGAAGTCGCAAAACACTTCACTGCAGTTTGCTGTAGCATTATATTAATGGCAGGGATTCTTGCACAAAACTGTCATAAAACACCTCATTTCATGTCACTGTAGCACTGTATATAACTGAACTTCAATTTGTTCAAATTCACTGCTCTGATACTTTATTTTCTTCTGCTTTCGGTCGCTGGGGTTGAAATAAATTGGAATTCGATACAATATCTGGAAAATCGCTGAGAATTGTCTATTTTACCATAATGTAGAAGCATAAATTAGACTTACCTTTTATCTCAAGTGCTAAAGAAATAAATAAAGACACCAAATCCACTTTGTTGCTACGTATAATTATTTATTAGATTCACTTTCAATAAAGAAACGTGAAACTTAAAGTTAATTTGGGAAAAAACTAATTTATTTCCGCTCGACCTGCATGAGTGTGAAAATCAATCCGCTCATGAATATTAATGAGGGGGGGGGTGCGGCATGTGGAGTGACGTCATGTGCGTTACACACAAACAAACATTCTTAGCTCATAGTAATACAATAACAATAGGCATGTAATGTGCATAATCTATATTGATTGGGGCCCTCTGTGATGTGGATTGTTTCCTTAAATTTTTATCTGATTAAGCACAACATGAATGAATGTCGTCTTGAAGAAGGATTAAATTAAGTTCTTCGTGTCAATCCCAAGAGCGAATTAGGCCACGTTTACTTAAGCAAGTGAGATTAGGGCGGGGGAAAAAACATCGCGTGAAAAAAAACAAAACTGGCGGTCGAACCGGTTGTCGAGCTAATTCGGATCTAATCCATAAATGGCTGCGTGCAAGCCGAATTCAGTTCCTGATAGTTACACCTTTTTAATATAACGTAATGTGATGAAGTATATTGGAACGTATCTTGTGTCCTTAGGAGGCGGCTAGTTTCTCTTTTTCTCTGGCATTCCGTTTTTTTAACAAGGAGACATCTGTAAGCTCGAAATTTGAAGCCAGATGAGAAGTTAAAGCCAGCAGCTTGAGCTTGGTAAGAGTGGCCGCCAACTCGAAATGCAAATGAGATCTTAATGGAAGCAAAAAAAACTGGATTCAATCTCGTTTCTTCTGCCTTGAGGCAGAAATTTTATAATAATAATTTGCAGCCCTTTGTCCATATACTACTCAGATGAAAGCCTCCACACTGGTAGTCTCATGGGAGTTACTCCACCATACTTCACCATACTTCACCAAGTTAGTGAGTGCGAGTTGGTAAAGGGAGCATGCCACCTCCAGTTTAGATATCACTCGCAGCTGATGTTTGTCGTGTTAGTGGTTAGCGCAGTTGTTAGGACTGTGCTCCAGCGATTGTGCCACTGGTCCACCCCATATGATTGTGGAATTAACGATAAGCTGGCCTGGACAGGGGTCAAAGGTTATGCTTTCGCGTGAGGGATTTGGTACTGTGTCGTGCTGTCCTTGCAGAGACGGTAAACCAAATGTTAACTGGCTAGCCTGTGCCACCTGCCAAGTGGCTTAACGTTTACTTTGAGGAGCAGGTGCCCGTTATGTGCCGTTCTCTTGCTTTTAGGTTGAAACTTTAGTCGTCAGTGGCAGAGGGGCCTCAGATAAATGAGAAGGTACACGAACTTGGCCTGTGCAATATAGTTAAGAAAGGTCAGATTGCGACAGTGATTTCAGCCATAATTGACAGTGACTGATATGATGTTATGACGAAACAAAGCCGGCATAGTGGTCTGGAAACATGAAAACCATACTAATGTATAAAATGATCTGCCTGACATACAAATGACTTGATGATCTGACCAACATCAGTCTGACAAAATGACCTGACTCGCACAATAACTGAGATGGCCTGACATGAAAAACATGGTGACCTGATTGACATGCTGACATATAAACTAATACGATGAACTAATGACTCTTGATCTGACCCCTGTAAATTACATGACCCCACTGGCATAAACCTGACTGGCACTGACACAATGGCAAAAACATCACACCATTATCTGTAGGGCATGATGACCTGACAGCATATGAACCAACTGATGCATTGTCTCACTGAATTTGTCTTGCACAATGACCTGTGCTGAATTCATTCACAACATTTAGTCACTTGGAAATACAATTTGTGAGCATAGTAGGGGATTACGTGTGGATTGTAGGCTTTTGTAGACCATCTAATGGCACTTGGATTGCATTTCAATAGCCACTAATGCAACCATGTACATTAATACCACTGGATATCATGCTGCTGAATGCATCACAATGCGTCCAGTCAAAAGATAGTATCATCTAGTTTGTATATAAATAGCACGCTAAACCGC